TGGTTAAATATAATGATGAGTAAAAAAAAAAAAAAGATTAGAAAAAAAAAAAAGAAAGATTTTGATTTTATTTTTAATTAAAGAATTTTTTAAAAAAATGTGTTTTTTTTTTTTTTTTTTTTTTTTTTTTTTTTTTTTAATGCTCTGATTCAAACAGGAATCCTTTCAGAGAAGTTCCATGGCCTGTGTTATACAGGAAGTCAGATGGCATGATCACAATAGTTACTTCTGGTCTTGGAATCTATGAAAGCCTTTAAATCGAGACCAGATGCTTTTCTAAAAAAGGTGCTCTTGTTCAAACAAGTAATGGCCTTAAAATAGTTTACTGGGTGAGGCTTTCTGGCCTGTGTTATACAGCAGGTCAGACTAGATGATCATAGTATTCCCTTCTGTCCTTAAAATCTATGATATTGAAAAAATAAGGCAAGGATTTTTTTGTTTTTGTTTTTGTTTTTTTTTAAAGCCCTCATGGCTTCAGGGAACTTTAAAAATGTTTACTGAGTTAGCTGATATACCTGCCTGAGTTTGCAGAGAGCCTGAAACAATGGCTTAGATGTGAGCTTTTTGGCTCTCCATTAATCTCTTTTGAAATGTCAACTTTAAAGCCCAGTGCTAATGCTTCAGTGTGAACATTAACTATTTAACTGCTAATCGTTTTAGAGGATGGAACAGGGATGTCTGTGAGAAGGAAATCCAGAGAGAACACAGAAAAGAGTCAGGAAAAGGATGGCAAAGGAAGAGAACTGCAGGGCAGGCACAGCATTGGATGTAATGGGAAGCAGATTTTCCCACTGAGTGGTGCTGAATGTTGCAATAAAACTGAATACATAAAGTATAGTTGCTACCTAATGGCTCTATTCTCTCTCTATGCCCACTGACATCGGGGAGATTGGCTATGGATGCACGGTGGGGAGGCTGTATAGTACACTGGCCCATGTCCCATAATTAAACATGGAATCTAGCCCTCTCCTTGGAGTCAAGCATCTCTGTCTTAAACACACCCACTGGATGGATATCTTAATTCTTATTAAAGAAAACCAGCACAAATGTGTTAAGGATGGACTGCGGTAATCCCTCACTCAGATACTTGGTACAGCAGATGATACCAAGTCAAATCAAAATGTGCCTGCACAGCTTAGCTGGGAAGCTTGTGTGTGTGGTGGGGTGGGCAGTGTGAAATCAGGGAATGGGGGGAGAGCTTCCTGATATGGGGTGCTGACAGCATGGAGTGGTGGGAAGAGTGGGTGAGGGCAGCATGGGAGGCTAGGAGCCTTCTGTGGTCAGGAGCTGGAAATGTTGGAAGGAAAACATTCTAGGGTGAATGGAACATGGGGAGCTGCTGTAGCATGCGGGGTTGAGGCTGAGGCAGTGCTTGCAGAAGTCTCTCTCTCAAAGGCATCAATCTGTATTTCAGATAAAGAGAAGAGCAAAAGAGAGCAGAAGGAGAAGAGGAGGGGCCTGCAAGGTGTGAAGAGAGCCCTCCCTGAAGGAGAGCCGCCTCCCACAGCCTGGATTAAAAAGGAAAAAGAAGACTCTGCCTATGACCAATATGCTAACCCAAGGCAGCAGTCCTGGAATGGGTCTGGGCGAAAGCATGCAAGCAGGACTTATCTGGAAGAGGAACCTGAGCAAGAGCAGTGTCGCAAGAGAGCTGTGGAGAGACGAGGGGACAAGGGGCACCAGGAGCAAAAGAGTCTGAGCAGTGCCTGGAAGGAGGAAAAGGCAGAAGACAAGAACAGAAAGGGGGAAGGCCGAAGCAGCAGACAAGAGGAATGTCTAGGGAGCACTAGATCAAGAGAGCGATGGGAGAAAAGCGCCAGGGACCAGCATGCCAGGGAAAGAGAGCTGTCTAGCTCTCGGGACTCCAGCCGCTATTGACCTGCCTGTCCTGTGGCTGCAGACTGAGCAGTACTCCAGGCCACTGGTGCTCCCTGTGGAGAAATACTGTGGATAGCTAGTAATTGGAAGGGGGAGGAAAACCCCACCTGTTGAATCCATTTCTAAGCTTGCCTCGAAGCCTCTCTCCTACTAAACTCCAAGCATTTATGCCTCTGTGAGTGCAGTGAAATAGCACCGTATTTTCCTCCATCAGCTTTATATCTCTGCTCCTTGTTCCTGCAGTCCTTCCTCAAGGACCAGAGAGCCAGGCACCCTCCTGCTGTTGTCTTAGCTGGTGGAAATGGCTGAGGTCTAGGGCGGACACTCAAGTTGCAATTTACAGTAAATGCCCTGTGTTGTTAATAACAGTGAGATGCCTCCCAGGTAATGAGCTTTGTCTGGCCACTTCATTGCTGGCCCCTGTAGTTCTCAGAAATAACCTGTGTCATCAGTTCTGTTGGTGAGGGTTCCTTGCCTAGACTGACACAAGTGGTGAATGTGTCTTCAGTAGTCCATATAACCTGGATTTATGTCAACTGAGGAATTCTAATGTGGCTGTTTGCTACTGCCATGAATTTCCAAGTGTTGCATTGTGGAGTCAGGATAGTTTATTGTTTTAAATGTCATTTAATGCTTACCTCCTCCCTCCGGATCTATGGCTGTTTTACTATTCTAGGAATAATAAAACTACTTTGAACAAATGGCCTGCTTCAGGTCATCCCTGAGAGAGAGAGCGTGTGACCAGTCTGGGGCTGCTTATCAATACTTTGTTCTATATGTGTGTCTGATTGCTGTAAGGGGATTTGCTGTATGAATAAAAGGGGTTAATTTAAGAAGAGGCTGACTACCTCCAATCCTGTGCTGAGTCTGTCAGAGGGGCAGGGCTGCCCCAGTCTGGGGAACTGAGAATAAAGAACTTTGGCTGGTTTTACAAAGACTGTCTCTCAAGGATGGGGGAACAGATGGTAGGGGTCTGAAGTAGGCCTGCCCAGGACTCTAGGTAAGACAGACATGCATGTAGATGTCTTTTTTTAAAAACTATGCTATGCTTTGTTCCTACGGTTAAGATTAAACAATACTTTAGATTTAAAATTAGAATGTTTTGGGTCACTGTATTCTGTGCTGGTCACAAGTTCCCGAAGGGAGGAACTAGAGGTGCCAAGTCAGACCTGCTGGGTAAGCCCAGTTGATGCAGAGTGTGGTATACCACACGGCATGGCCTAGGATTGGGAGAACTGTCAGAGTCCACCTCCAGGAAGATAAAGGTCTGTGACTTCAGGAGGGTGCCTTCAGAGATCAGAGAGGGGTCAGAGGTGCAGCTCGCGCCGTAACTATGACAGTTTGTACAAAGCGCTGTCCTACTCCTGCTGGAAGATACTATTCTAACTTTGTATGTTTTTATTTTAAGGGTCTGAAAGCAGTCTAAGCGCTACCTTTAAACCCTTGAGGGAAAAGGCCCAATACAGCTAATATAGCTTATATTCCTTGGAGAGCAGGGAGAGAAATGTAGTCTGCCTCATGGTAAAACCTGCCATGGTCCCCATAGCATGTTGCTGAGCAGTGTCCTAATGTCTAGATGCCAGAAGGGACCATTATGGCCATCCAGTCTGGCCACCTGTATAACACAGCCCAGAGAATATCACCCAGCTGTTCCTGTATGCTAGGGTCCAAGTAAACGAGTACAGCCACCTTACTTTTCCAAGCTGTGCTAGCACACAATGCCATCTATAGTGGATTGTGCATTCTCTGAGCTCCACTCAGTGGGTCCAAATACACTCATGGACTCTGCTGCCGTTTGTGGGTTTGGTTTCCCCTCACCCAAGCTTGTACTATGCTGAGCTTCTTAAGCTTCACTCCCCCTTTGGAGGCAATAGATACCCCATTGGGGTCTGCTAGTGTCATAAATATAGGTGGAAAGGTAGCAACCTTTATGTATGCAGTAGCATAAAATCCCTCCTTGGCAGCTGTACTGGATTGCTTTACCTGTAAGGGATTAAACAGTTCAAATAACCTAGTTGGTACCTGAAGGACCAATGAGGAAAGAAGATACTTTCAAATTTGGGGTGGGGGAAGGATTTGTTGTTGTTCTCTTTGTTTGTTCCCTCTCCGGACAAAATATACCTGGAATAATCCATCTAAAACCACAAAAATTGTAAATAGGGCAAGGAAATGCATTAGGTTAGCTTTTGTTTTAGCTTGTGAATTTTCCTATGCTACAGAGGTAGTTTTATTCCTGTTTTTGTAACTGTGATGCTGAGCCAGAGGGGATTCCTCTGTGTTTTAAATCTTTTATTTACACTGTAAAGTTACCTTCCATCCTGATTTTGCAGGTGTGATTCTATTTTTTTCTTTATAAATAAAGTTCTTCTTTTAAGAACCTGATTGATTTTCAGTGTCCTGAAGACAAAGTGTCTGGTCTGTGCTCACATTGCTAAGGCAATTGGTTGGTATATTATTCTCAAGCCTCCCCAGGAAAGGGGGTGAAGGGGCTTGGGGGGATATTCTGGGGGGATAGGGATTCCAAGTGACCCTTCCCTGAATTTTTGTGTAAATCACTTGGTGGTGGCAGCAATACTGTCCAAGGACAAGGAAAGGAATTTGTGCCTTGGGGAAGTTTTAATCTAAGATGGTAGAATATAAGATTAGGGGTTCTTTCATGCGGGTCCCCACATCTGTACCCCAGAGTTCAGAGTGTGTGTGTGGGGGGGACACCCTGACAGGTTCCTGGAATTTGGCTCCTAGAGTAGGGGGAGGGGATGTCACCCAAGCCCAGCACTTGTGGTACTGAAAGAAGCTGTCACTCACAGAAGATTGTGCAGAGCTGCACAGTGATCATCCTTCTCCTTTCTTACATGCTTTAAGCAGTGAAATAGTTTATTCTCTAATGGCAACGTTTGTTAATCAAGGAGTATCTTAGATAGTCTCCAACAAGATGAGTTCTGTCTCATGTGGCCAGGGCCTGGGCAGCGCACAGTCCACTGCTGACCCTGCGTATAATGGCTAAGTTCTATCACTTCTAACCTCGTCAGTTATAATTCTGAACAGTCCCTCTGCATAGTGGTCCAGTTTCCAGCACTATGGGATCCTGCCAACTTCTGTGAGCTAATGTCACAATGGGCAATGGCCAGCTGTAGCCACCAGCATTGTTCACCTGGGCAGTAAGGAAAGGATTAACAGGCCCTTTACAGGTCTTAATGCTGTTACTGAGTTTGAAATGTTTCACAATACTTGACTAGAAATTTTTTTAAATTATCTAGATGTTTTGCTATAGCAAATGGCAGCTAAAAAACTTTCTGCCAACTTCACTCAATTTGAAACAGTGAAACGAATAAACTTTAGATTGAATAAGCTGTTTTAAACTAAAACTTATATTGAGAAAAACATACTAGGGCTATCAGTCCATTCAGGTGAATGATGGCCCATAGATGTGGTTGGTTGGTATTTTCATGTTGACCAATACATGCTGGCTAGCATATATATTGTATTATGTATTATCTGCACCATATACACTAGAATGCATTAAGCACAAATATTTTATAGCAGTTATGTAGTCTAAATTGGTCTATACCTTTACTATAATTCTGTTAAGTATCTCATAATACCTTGCATGAGTTGAAGTAAGCTTGGGTTAAGTAGATACAAAAGCTGTCTGGATCAGGGCCTATGATTATTTTACCATAGCAACAGGTAGGGATTTTCACAGGCCAGTACTGGAGTGTCCCAAAGGACCAGGATGGATATGATTGTTCTACCTTAGTACAAATCTAGGAGGTGCCTTCATGCTCATTGGGCCCTGGAATGCGTGTGTTCAGAACAAAGAGAAGAGGGGTACACCATGGTACCAGAAAGATAAGGTAGAAGGCTGAACAGTTAAATCTAGTTTCAGATGACATATAACGTACCTTTTATCTGTAAACAGGTAGGGTATAAAAAGGTGGCTTGAGGGGTGTAACTTTGGGAGCATACCTGCTGCATAAGGTGAATGTAACAATGTTGTACAAGGTGCATTAATGGAGATAGGTTCAATATGATACCATTTTCCTGTACTAGATTCTTATTGGCTTATAGCAATAAACCTGACATTGGTTGTTTGGTCTCTTTAAAATATATATATATATTTATTTATTTTAATCTTAACCAAAGTGTGGTCAGGCATTTCACTATAACATTTATCAATACTTTATGTTGAGATAATTAAAAAACCTAATTTTTTCAATCTTTCCTCATAAGTCATGTTTTCTAGACTATTAATCATTTTGGTTGCTCTTCTCTGGACACTCTCCAATTTGTCCACATCCTTCCTGAAACGTGGCACCCAGAACTGAACATGATACTCCACTTTTGAGGCCTAATCAGAGCGGAGGAATTACTTCTCATGTCTTGCTTACAACACTCCTGCTAATACATCCCAGAATGTTGCAAAAACACCAAACATCAGTGTTATACTGTTGACTCATATTTAGCTTGTGATCCACTATGACCCCCAGATCCCTTTCTGCCATACTCCTTCCTAGGCAGTCATTTCCCATTTTGTATGTGTGCAACTGATTGTTCCTTCCTAAATGGAGTACTTTGCATGTGTCCTTCTTGAATTTCATCCTATTTACTTTCAGACCATTTCTCCTTTGGTCCTAAGCCACGTGCAGCCTCTGAAGTATTCCATGGGTGCCACACCATCTAGAATGGCAGCAAGTCCTGCTTCTTTTGGCCCTGTGCCCATTGCAGAATGGGTTCCTACTGTACTCTTGTGCCAATGTACTGCCAGTCTCACATCACTGCAGTAGCAATCTGTCTCCCAGGGACATGTTCAGCCCTATGGGGGGTGGCACTTGAATCACATTTGACACCTTTCCTAGGTGGGTGTGGCTTCAGCCAGCCGGGCGCAGAGGTAGGGCCAGACATCAGAGCGGCCCCGGAAACGCTGGGCCTGCTGTCTGGGGCGAAGAGGTTCCCTGGCTGCAGCAGCTAGTGCTCTGTAAGTGCGGCAACACAAACCTGGCGAGACACCTTGCAGAGGCCAGGCTGGTCTGACTCCCCGGCGCTGACTGCGCGGGCGAGGGGCGGGATTTCTCCCCTTTCCCTCACGCGCAAAGGAGGCTTCCCGCGACACTCGCCCTCAGGCTGCGCGCAGTGGGGCCAGGACTCCCCGGATTCGGAGCACCAGCGCAGCCAGCCTGTGGACCACCCGAGCCGTCTGGACAGGAGAAGACGGAGTGGGTCCACGGTGGTCGTGCCGAGCGCGTTGCCAGGACAACCGCCCATAACAAACCTGATTGGGCCAAAAAAGTAAAACCCGCCCCAGCACAGCGGGGAACGGGGTCCGTGCGTCACGACGCTGGACGGGGATTGGCGTCCGTGCGTCACCACGCTGGGCGAAGGGACACCGTCCAATCGAAAGAGGCGGCCCCCGCGTGGCCCTGCTGCACCAAGGGACAACAAGCCCGACGCCGCTGATCTCCGGCCAGCGGTCGCTCACGTCACTGCTCGGCGTCGTCGCTTGCGCGGCTGTGCGTCCAGAAGGCGCGACCGAATGACGCCCTAGCCCCGCCCCCAGCCTCTCTCGCGGGTACCCCGCCCCGCGCACGCGCGTCCATTGCCGCGTCGAGTCTGTTCTCCCTAGCCGGGTTACCGGTCCGTTTCAGGCGCGCGCCGTCGTGACGTGAAGTCCCGTGTCCGGCCCGGCCCGGGCCCCGCTCCGCCATGCAATGTCCGTGCTGAACTGGAAACCCTTCGTGTATGGCGGGCTGGCCTCCCTGGTGGCCGAGTTCGGTGAGGCGCGGGGCCGCGCCCCTGGGCTGTACCCTGGGTGCCCCTCCCGGCAGTCTGGCCCCTGGAAGGGCTCGGGGTAATGGCGGGCGAGGCGCTGAGCTGGGCTCCCGGCGCCGCGCTGCGGGGGAGAGTGTGAGCGGACCAGGGGAGTGGCGTTGGGTCTGTAGCGCTGCACGCTTCGGAGAGGGTGTTTGCAGAGAGCGCAGAGAGAAGCTACAAGACCGATCTGAGCCTGGTCTGGCAAACCCGTTTTCCCGCGGCAGACTGCAGGAGCAGAATCTCTGTAGCTCGCCTGAGACAGTTAAGATACCACACGCACTCGTGTGGGGAGATTTTTGGCAACAGAGAGCTCTGTGTCATAGCAGACAAAGGCATAACAAGCTCTAGTGGCTGAAGGCTAGATCTCGTACTGGAAACGAGGGGCCCATTTTTACAGTAAAGACAATTAGCCATGGGGCCAACTTCCAAAGATGAATTCCCTACCACAGTCTTTCAGTCAAGGCTGGATCTCTCTTTCTAAAAAGATCTGCTCTAGTTTACCCACATATTGTTAGTTTCAATATAGGAATCACTGGCTGAAATTCTCTGGCCTGTGTTGTGCAAGAAGCCAGTCTGACCATCACAATGATTGGTTCTGGTCTTGTAATATAAAGTACCTGTCCTTGTCCCAGGGGTACAAAGGAGGTGGGATGGGAGGCAGCCTCTCTGTGTGAGTTTACTCTGTGCAGTCTGTTTGAGCTCTTTAACGCAAGAGATTTGTTTGAGGTGCTGGCCCTCCGGGCGCCAGAGACCTGATGGGTGCTAGTCTGTTTCCTGGGGTGCTGTTCCCCCTCACCTTGCAGGGACTGCAGCCTGACTGGAGCCTTTCTCCATTTGTAGGGACCTTTCCTGTGGACCTCACCAAAACGCGCCTCCAAGTGCAAGGTCAAAGCATTGATGCTCGCTTCCAAGAGATCAAGTACCGGGGCATGTTTCATGCCTTGTTCCGCATCTATAAGGAGGAGGGGATTCTGGCTCTCTATTCCGGGTAAGGTCTGATGCCTCTTTTTCCCAGCAAAAGGCTCTCTGCTTGATATCCTATGTGTGCAGAGTCCCCTACCCCATGCACCTTGCCCTGCTGCACCCTTCGGGGAGAGGGCTACAGTCTGACCTGTGGCCATGTGCTCTCCCTTTTCCCACACTGAGCCACCGCCACATCTTTTCTACTGAATGTTGGTTAAAAAGCCTGGGAATGCAGCCTGTCACTGCAAGTCTAGGTGGAACTCCTTCTAGTCCTTGGACTCTCCAGTGGCTAGTCTGTTTGGTCAGTGTCCCAAGATGATGTATGGGTCTCAAATATCCAAATAAAGACCCAGGAAGTCCCAGAGGAGATGGGGAGGGAGGCAGGCAGGCAGGCCAGCCTCTTTGCTCTTTCTCCAAAAGCCTGCTAGGCTGCTATAGTCTAAACGTATTTGGGTCTGGCTCTTTTGGAGGTGTGTTGCCAGTCCATCCCCATGCCATGCCAAGTACGTGCAAAGTCGTACTTCTCAGACAGCACTTTGCCTCTCTCACTGGCGTTAGGCATGTGGGTGTGATAGCTGGCCACCTCTTGGGAGCTGCTGTCCTTATAACAGTGACATAAAGGTGAGGAAGTAGGGGGTAACTCTGTCTCCTGGCTGAGTGTCTTGTAAAAGCCCCTTCGAAGCAGTTTTGTGTCAGGCACTAGAATGCGAACAAGCAAGTCCAGGCTTCTCCTTTTCTTCATGTTCAGAAGGGCTGAGTTTGGCACTCAATAAGCTTTGAACTAGTAATTCTGCCATGAGCCACCCGCAGTGCAGGCAGGGTCTGTATGAGCCCATCCTGCTGAAGGGCTTATCCCTTACCATGCAGCATCCTCTGCTATTCCAGTCTTGGCCTGTTCTCAAAATCCATGGAGGTATTGTGATGCTGAGCTCCCTTGTCAGTGCATGGGAGCCCACAACAGGTGTGCGTGTTACATGAGCTGTGCATACTGGAGCCTGTATCTGAGGGGGAGTGAGCTATGCTGGAGCCTGCAGAGGCACAGTGGTGCTAGCAGGCCGTGCAGCATGTAACCAGATCTTGTGTTTGTTTGCCCTTGCAGGATTGCTCCTGCATTGCTGAGACAGGCATCTTATGGTACCATAAAGATTGGCATTTACCAGAGCCTGAAGCGGCTGTTTGTAGATCGCTTAGAAGGTCAGTGTCAGTGAAGCCTCATGTTGAGATGCCTGTGGGACTGTCACAAAGGGCACAATGTGAAATCTTGAGACCAGGCCCCCACCCATTCAATTTCTTGGTTCTTTCCCTTCTCTACCCGGCTCAGCTGCTGAATCCCAAAGAAGCTGAGTTGTGTTCCGTTTCCTGCGTCCCAACACTGGGGATGATTTTTTTTTTTTTTTTTTTATGTAATCATAGCGGTCCCAATGTGCTGGTTGCTGCTCAGACTCACATGAGAGGCAGGCCCTGCCCCCAAGTGTTCCCCATCTAAACAGAAAAAAGGGTGGGGAAAGGAAGAATTATCCCCATTTTGCAGTTTCAGAATTGAGGCTTAGATAACACCTCGCCTTCCTCAAAGTATCTGATTCTTATTTATCATTCCAGTTTCCCAGCTGCCTTCAGGACAAAGCCCCTTCCCACCCCCCGGGACTGCCCCTGCACAGCAGCAGTTTAAGGCTTGGTTAACTAACCTTTCCCATCTCCCTGCCAGAGGCTTTGAGCCCCAGTGCCATTGCTCAGAGTTTATCGTCCCCTTAGCTCTGTGCCTTCTCCCTTCCTCCAGAGCTGGGCATGTGTGAACAGTCCTGAGATGTGCTTTCCTGGCTGCTCTGGGGCAGGCCACGGGATCTCCACTCTTCCCACCTACACTGAAGCAATAAAAATCCAATGATGTTTCTCTCAAGGAGCTCTGAGCGTTTGACAAACCCTGATGGATTTGACTCGCAGTCCCCACCTCAAGAGGTGGGCCCCTGAGTTACAGATGAGGAAGGACTTGCCCACAGCCATGCAGCAAGCCTGGGATAGAATGCAGTCCCAGGTGCTGCCCTAACTAACAAGTGATGGTCCTTCCCTGCATCTGACTCCATGGAATGTGAATTGGGTCACAAGTTGTCTGTTTCCATTTGCTGCTGCAGCACTTCCAGCTTGGTACTGAGTCCTAAATGTTTGTTTCCCTGCAGGGCTGGGGCTGCCAGTGGCCTGGTCTCCTCTGGAGAGTGCTGCGGTCAGTACCATTGCCCTTTCCCAGCATAACCACTGCTCTAACTCTGGGCCTGGAGGCTTTTCCTTCTGAACTAATTGCTCCTAACCCACTCTGTCTCGGCTGTCCAGTCTCTGTCCTGTGTGTGTTTCGGATGCAGCCGCTAAGGATTCCAGCTCAAAGCTCTACAGCACTGGATGACCCAAAAATCATTCGCAAATCCAGTGCCCATGAAATCAGCTCACAATGCCATCGGGGAGGTTGAAATTACAGATAATTGTGTCTAGAAATGAGGTGCTTGGCAATCTGCTTCTCTCCTGATCTGCCAGGCTCTGAGTTCAGAGACTGCCTTCTCCTCTATGGAATACTGCTGAAGCCCCAACATCCCTGCCACTGTCTTCGGGCTCTGGCAGCTAGGGGACAGGTTTGTCAACAGTGTACAGTTAATTGGTTGGTCTCTGCACCCCACAGCTTTGCTCTCTGCATTAGCAGCTGGACTTTTCCATCCTTTCCTTCCCAAAGCTTTTCAGTTTCTCTGGTAGGTCCCTGCATCACCATCTCTGGGCTCTGACCTTCTTTCCCCCTGCCTGATTGCAGATGAGACGCTGCTAATCAACATGATCTGTGGGGTGGTTTCAGGGGTGATCTCGTCCACGCTGGCCAACCCGACAGATGTGCTGAAGGTAAGAGGTGCCTGTTTTGTGGGACCATCCCTGCTGGGCCAGGTCCTGATATGATTAAACTGATTCTTTCCTTTAAAGCAGCATGTCTTCCAGCTGGAGCAGACTGCCCTCCAAGCCACTGGCCAGGCTTTGGCTTGGGGATAGAAAAAAAGCACTGCCTTGGTTGTGGGAGTGAAGGGGAGAGGTAATATGAGGGAGCCACAGCCCAGTGCAGGAAGGAGATGGAAAATGCAGCTGCTGAGCTCTGTGGTGAAAGATCCTCTGGAGCCCAAGCACTGGGTGAACTGCGCAAAGGGCTGAGAGTGCTGGCCAGTAGCCAGGCATGCCACAAGCCTTCTCCCCTCTTCCCCATGGCCACTACACGCAGCTCTGATGATGCACCTCCATTCTGATCTGTAGCCCTCTGTTACTCCAATCCTGCAGAGTGACTGCAGAGCCCAGTCTGGCCTGTTCTTTGTCCTGGTGCTAGGTCCAGGGGACCCTCATCTGGGGGAGTCTCTCTTGGTTGAATTCACACGGGGCTCAGCCTCTGTTTAAAAAAAGAAATGGCCTCCCTGGCTTTGTTCTTTGTCTCACCTCTGAGCACTGAGGTCCATTAGCTAGTCCTATAAGGTCCTGCCCTCTCCAGTCCATTGTCATTTTCATGGTGCTGCGACCTGCTAGCCACTCCTCCAAATTCACTTTCCTGGCCCCTGAATAACTCTTCCTCTGGGCAGTTGGATGTTGCTCTGCTATGCTTGGCTATTTTTCCCCTCCTAGATGGGAGCTGAATCTGTATGTTGACATAACTGCTTTGCAGCCACTGCTGCCTGATGGAATCTGTCCCCTCATTTCAGATTCGAATGCAGGCTCAAGGCAGCTTATTCCAGGGGGGCATGATTGGCAGCTTCATCGATATCTACCAGCAGGAAGGCACACGGGGGCTCTGGAGGGTAAGCACCCACTGCTGAGAGTCCTTTCTACTCAAGCAGCAGAAGAATAAGCTGCTTCCTCAGCTGCCATTTGCTGACTAAAGCCAGGTGGTGAGTTCACCTTCTGATCCCGGTGTGCTGCTATCCCTTGGCGTAAGTGAAGCATCTGGAGAGTGAACAGGCCAAGGACAGGAGCAGCCTTGCTGTTTTGTCTGCTGTCCATGGGGAAACTGTGGCTAAGGTCACTCTGTGTATGTGCTGGATTGGGACACAAGCAGGATGTGAATGGAGCAGGTCCCCTCATGCACAGAGTCCAGTCTTTTCCGAAACCTGCCCCTTTCCCAGAATGTACAGCCGCAGAATAGTTAACATGCAGAGCAGGGTCAGGCAGTTTGCTTCTCCCTGCAGGACTCCTTGTTCCTCCCCCTAGCTCACCTCATGGAGAGTGACTCAGCCTGGGTATCTCTGAGTGGGTTTTGAGCACACCCTTGTGACGTTAGTGGGGAAGAGTCTGCAGAGCTCAGCAGAATAGCTCGTAGCCTCCTCATAGAAGCCTGAGGCTGAGCATGCTCTCAGGAGGAGGAATTCTCAATTTCATCAAGTGTTTCCCTTGAATGTCCTTACCAGAACACTTCAGTATAAAGACACAAATTGTTTGAAGGTGAGAAAATCCACTGTTAATGTTCTGCACCACCTTCAGCTCTGCCTCGTGTCCAGCCTGAGACCCCCTATCCCTTGTTGCCTGGAATCTGCCCTGTGTGTATGAATGACAGCAGGATGGCAGCTTCCTGGGGACTGCTGGAAGGGCAGATTGTGAAGACAGGATCTTGAGCTTAAAGGTGTTAAGATTCTTTAGAGCCCACTTGTTACTGTTAGCCACACTGCTTGGGGTTTGTGGTAAGATACTTTGGCCTGCTTTTACTATAGTGACCTATAGAAATTCTTCCATGGACTTCAACCAGCAAACCCAAACTGGAGCGAGCTCCAGTACTGGGATTCCCAAGTCAGATGGCTTTCCCAAATGGAGCGTTCCCCTTTATCTCTTCCTTGCATTCAGTACAATCCTTCAGAGGGAAGATACTTGTCCCTAAGTCTCTCACTTACTCCAGAGCCTCCTGGGCTGGAAGGGAGGGGCGGGGTCTGGGGTCAGTCTCCACTGCTGGTTTTGGCTCAGTGGTTACTGTTAAGATTATTCCTGCTCTCTAGACAAACGCACACGAGAGGGAAGAGAGGATAGAAAAGAAAGGAAAACATCTGTCTCATGGACACGTGCTGCAGGCAGGATACAGTACACAGTCAGGTCAGTCACAAGTGGGTGTGTGCTAGCCCTGGCCCCAGCTCACTCTCCTGGTCTAAGAGCTGGCAAGCCCTGGCCACCTCCTGCCATCTCTCCTTCGTGCTGAGGTGAGCCTGCTTGTGCTGCCTCAGCCTGTCATACTGGTTGTGGCAATGGTAGTGTGGAGGTGAATTAATCCTGTAGCTGGCCAAGTTTGGAAATAGTTACACAGAAGCCAAAGAAGATAGGGAAGAGGATAGACATGAAACAGCTTGTGAGGGACGGGCAATGAGATTCTTAAATCGACCTCCCTCAGGACATTGCAGATTGGTGTGGTCTGAGGGCCGCATCTCCTCATTGGCCTGTTTGCCAGCTGGATGTATTGAAGAATTTCCCCAGCATCCGCAGGCCAAAGGGTTTTCCTTTGGGTGAGATAGTGGCCTCTAGGACATTGATGCCCTTACACTTCGCTGCAGTGCCCAGAAGGGGCAGCCATCACTGTACCATCTACTTTGCCAGTCCATTGCCCATGGTTTTTCTCTGACCCAGGAATTTCTCATCCATTTTTGTGAAAATGGGTCATCTGTTTGGAGTCCTTGAGGTTTGCTTCGCAGTCAGTTCAGGTGGCTCTTTCCAACTTACTCTTGTTTCCTTCAGCTGTTTTATAACCTGTTCTCAGGCCAGAGCGACCTTCTGCCAGCTCAGCCCAGCTTTTGCAAGTCTAGTGAAACATGAAGGACTCCCAGATCATAGGCCTTGGTGCAACAGAGACTGGGGTCTGACAGGAAGGACTTGGCCCCACATGGCCCCTGCATAGCTGCATCTTGTTTCTGATTAATCTCTGCTGGCATCTAGTTTTGTTAGGTGCTGCCCAGTGGGAGAAGTTGAGTGATTTGAGGGCTTCAGCTGGGGTCTCTGGGGGCAGGTGAGGAGCCTGATCCAGCCAGGCTACAGGCCAGGAGGCAGAGTGGCAGGACACACAGTTCATGTCGCTAGTGAAGTGATGCCAGGCATAACTCTTTAAAACCAGGAAGGGGAGTCATGCCCAAAGGGAGGAGGGCTCTGGGAGTAAAACCAAGATACAGCAGGCTTCCCTTATCCAAGGGCAAGTGCAGCTGGTGAACTAGGGGAGGCAGCCAGAAGGCGTGGTCAGTGGGCTGCAGGGCTGACTGCCATGGGAGGGCTTTGCAGAGTGTCTAGGAGGGAGGGGGCCCTGCCTCCAGTGGTAAATTGAGTGCTTGTGTTTGGTAGGGTGTAGTCCCCACGGCGCAGAGAGCTGCCATTGTGGTTGGAGTGGAGCTGCCAGTGTATGACATCACCAAGAAGCACCTGATCCTCTCAGGGTTCATGGGGGATACGATCCTTGCCCACTTCGTGTGAGTACCTGCAATCCCCTCTGCTCTCTTTGGATCCAGTGGGGGTAGGCGTTGCCAGTCAGTCCTGCTGGAAAAGGGCAGGATGTAACTGTGCAGTGCAGCCTGTGGTGTTAACTCTTGACCTGTTCCTAGTTATGCTGAATGCAATGCCAGCAGCTTGGCTAGATCCTACCCAAGGGGCAAGGACTGCGGCTCTGCAGTGGCATCCACTTCTTGGGGGGTCTACAGAGAGCAGTTCCACAGCAGTTCAGCTGCCTGGCACGTGGGCAGTAGGGGGTGCAGGTCTCCCAGCTAGGATCCCAGTGGGACTTACAGGAGGAGGGGTGAAGGGGGTTGGGGAATAGGAATTCTGCAGAGCATGTGAAATGAGCTGCTGCATTCCTAGCTACTTTATTCCCCATTCCTCCCCTGCCCTGGCTTCTGATTCTATGCTGTTGCTGCAGAGTGGTTCAGTGGGATGATTCTTTTGTCAGAGTTTCTTAGCTGGGGGTGCTATGGGGCACCCACTGAGTTTGCACCACATGGCTGGAGGGAGGAAGTCACCAGGGTACAGTGAGAGCAAGGACAAGGGAGGGGAGTAGCAACACGGATGTTTTTGCCCTGCTCTACCCTGCTGCCATTCTCAGTGTGGATCTTCTGTTCTTGCAGCACTCACTCTGCAGAAGCATCCCCAACACCAACCATGCACCCAGTCCTTGAATTCAGCCCCTGCAGGTTTCCCAAACCCACCTGCCATGACTGCAGTGCCACAGCCCTTGGCAGATCTCCATGGGTCGTGGCAAGAAACTGCAGCTTGTCCTTGAATCCAGGTTTAGGAGAGGCTTGAAACATCCCCAAGCCCCATGGGGCATTACAACCTCAGGGGCTTGGATTTAGGAGATGGTTGCAATGATAAATGTGCTCCTCCTGCCTGAGTGATGGCATGTGCATCTTGCCTGCACCATGGGTTTCTGGATGGCAACAGACAGCGTGAGAGCAGATTGAGCAAAAAAAGTTAGCTGCACTATGTTCTTGTGGAGAGCGCTCTCTCTGTGCCCTCAGGTCTGTTTGAGGCATGTCACCAGCCTGGGCCCGGAGCAGCCTCTAATGCTCTGATGCATTTAGTTCCAGTTTTACATGTGGGCTGGCCGGAGCCATTGCCTCCAACCCAGTGGACGTGGTGCGAACGCGGATGATGAACCAGAGGGCAATAGTGGGGAGTGTGGAGCTCTATAAAGGCACGCTGGATGGTCTAGTAAAGGTAAGAAGCCAGATAGTGTTGGGCAAGTGGGGTCACAGCCATCAGGGCCCAGTTGAGCCTGAACAGGTTCTGATGTCACATGTGACTCTGATCCCCGCAGCAAAAGGCACCAACCATGGAGCATTCTTCTCAGGGAATGTCTTGCAGTGCAACAAACATGGACTTGAGCTGTCCCCTGGGCCTGCTCCTGTGAAATGGGACTCTGGGAGTTGCGGGAGAGACAGTCAGAGCAGGGACAGCCCAAGATCTTATTCATAGATTCTAAGGCCAGAAGGGACCATTGTGTCCTCTAGTCTGACCCCCTGTATAACACAGGGCAGAGAACTTCCCCAAACTAATTCTTAGAGCAGCGCTTTGAGAAGAACATCTTGCCTTGCGCCAGCCCAGTTAAACTGGAGTTGTTCTGTATTGGAGGATGCTACATTGTATGTGGGGAGGGGAGACCACGTCCTCAGGAATGGGCAAGAGCAACTAGGACACTACTGGAGTCGTTGTAGCAGAAAGCACCCTGTTTCATTGTGCACATGATCAGGAGCTTGGGGAGCATCTCATGGTCACTCTGTCTCTCTCTTCTCCAGACATGGAAGAGTGAGGGCTTCTTTGCACTCTATAAAGGGTTCTGGCCCAACTGGCTCCGGCTTGGCCCTTGGAATATCATTGTATCCTTTAAAGAGTGACTGGGTGACAGTGTGGGTGCAGCTAGCTGGAGAAAGGCCAGGACATAAAGAACTACACAAGGCAGACATGGTTCTCGCTCTAGACAGGCACCATTGTCCCCATTAACCAAATCAAGTCATGGCTCTGTCTTCCCTGCAATGGCCCACTCAGATGTACTCCCCGCCCTTCACGGACAGTGATCCTGCAGGATACAGCACAGCTGCAACCTACTGTATGGCCAAGAAACCAGCAGGGGGCGCATTGTAGCTTCTAATGTAGTCTGCTGAGTGGCTAGTCCTTTGTCCTCCTTGTGTCACAAGAGCAGGGAGTTCTGCTGTGGCTTCATAATTGAAAAGAACCCTTCATTAGAGTGAGCACCCTGAACTGCTTTGTTTGAGGTTCCCCATATCTGTTCTGAACCCTTTGGGCCTGCCAGTCTCTGGGCAGGCTCCTGCTTTTGGGATGAAGTCTGGGGAAAGCCTTGGGATGCATGGGACAGGTGATCGGAACAGGCACTGTTTGCAGATAAATGTTTGCATTTATCCTGTACCTCAAGCCCTGTACAGCCTTGTACTGGACCCTTTTTTACTTTTCTGAAAAATGTGTCCTCCCAGTGTGGGAAGCACATGTACTGGAGAGGCAGAGGCGGCCAGCTGAGCCCTCTATCCTGTCCCAGCTGTTTGGGAGGGTTAGAGACTTCCCTCTGCTGGGCTTCCCTGGGGTTCGACCACTCCCCTTCCCCTTCTAGCCATAGTGCCCCCTCAAGGAAGGTTTCTGGTGGTATTTTCCTCTTGGAAGTGGCAGTGCGGCCTTGCCATGTGTTGGCATTTAGCTGTATTGCAGTAACCCCTAACACTACTGTAGGAGAAATTCCACCAGACTTTGCCTTGAAGATTTTCTATCCTTCTGTGAGCATGTGGCAGGGAATGGGGCCAACAGGACTAACCTGTTCCAGCAAGTGTACTCTAGAGTAACTCCTACCTGCTGGGTGCAGTCCTACACCATTCAGACATAGCTGCCAAAATAACAGTCAGCCACAGCAGTTTGCTTACCAATCATGTGACCAGTAGAGCTGAAAATCTCCATGCACTTTCCTTCCATACAAATCTGTCCTCAGCTGCTTCTGCCGCTGCCTCATTGGTGGGCTTTGCAGCATGCCTTGTAACCTTAGCCGATTAGGGCTATTGGGGCCTTGTCAGAGTGTGATCGCAAGAAAAGAGGCCCTAACAGAGAGTACTCACCCAGCCCAAGAGTCTCTGTTGGTGGCAGCATGGCATGGGCAGAGGCGTGTCTCAAGTAGGCAGCTCCCAAGCAGTTCAGAGCCTTATAGGCCAAAACACATGTTAAACTCAATAGGCAGCCAGTGCAGATCATGGAGGGTGGTATCGTGAGCTTCCACTAGTGGCACTGCTTAGCAAATGGGCCTGCATTGTGTACCAGCATTAGGTTTCCAGGTAGATGAAGTTGCAGCCCCATGGTAAATTGAACTGCAGCAATTCAAGTTTAAGGAGACAAAGGCCTAGATCACAATAGCAAGGTCCGTATTTGAGAGAAATCCCATCTCCTGGCCAGCTGTAGATGGGTAAAAGCTACCCCAGTCACTGCTGCATTGGGACCTTCCAACAGCAGATGAGCATCCACCACAGCCCCCATTCCATAGACAAGTAACAAGTCTTCAGCAATCATCCTCGATCACAGGGGAGATACTGGCCTTGCCATAACTGCGGGTTGCTTCCTCCCAGCAACACCTGTCTGGATTGAGCTCCAGCTAGCTTTCATCCATATCTCAGTCTCCAGATGCTGGCCCAGGTATTCAAGCAGCAGTGACTGGGTTGGGTGGAATGGACAGGTGAAGGTGGGCGTAATCAGCATGCTAAAAGCACTGCAGTTTATGGCTCCTTGTTAACACACCCATTGTGGCTATTAGGAATGTCTGCACAGCCCAGCCCACCCCACCCCCAGGCTTCAGAGCCCGAGCTCCAGCCCAAGCCACAACTTCCAAGCACTGTCTGTGCAGATCCTTTTAGAGCTAGCATGAGCCCCACAAGTGCAAGTCTGTCCCCCCTTGCTGGGAGCATCACTGCCAAGGGCTATGTAGATGCAGCCATAGACACCTGGCTGGAAACCTGTGGAACTCCTTCACCACCCTCCAAGTGGTTAGTGTTAGAACTCAGAGGAGGAATGGGGCATCCCAGCTTGGTTGCCTCTGCAGGATTTAATACCAGTAGCACTGTTTCTTATTCACTGTACTTGTGCAGTAGGAAGGGGTAGCTGTGCCATTGGCAGAGAGGCACCATTGGCCCTGTGAATCTGCCCCACGAGACAGCATCTAGCCAAGCCCTGTGCCCTGGACAGCTAGGGGTAAGGGGTGATGTGCGGCAGCTCTTTGCAGTTAAGTAGCCCAATGAGAAGGTTACCTGCAGGCTTCTCACATCCTGCTCTAACTGCCCAAGCACCTATAGCTTCGTACAGAACGTGGCTCTGTGTAGGTGGAGGAAAAGCTTGTTGTGTCTGGGGAGGAATGTGTGACCACTCTGCAATGGGGCTCCTTTCCACAAGGGGAGTGCGTGCCCGTAGAGTTCTGTAAAGGGACTGGTGGTGTGAGAGGTGGGCACCCTAACAGACATTACAGATTAACCCTAGAAATACCAGTGCAGGGCTTCCAATGACCCAAACCCTTCAGTGGCTCTCAGAATGCCCCAGCAAGCCCTGGTTCCAGGGAGTTGTCTGCAGCTCCCACCTATGGGATATCTCTGAGACAGCTGGCCCTGTGTGGAGTGCGGGGGAGCTCCTTGGAGTGACTGACACTGGAACTCAGTGATGATTTCCATGCTGGTTGTGAGGGTGGAGCTGCTCTGGCTTCCCTGCTGCATGTAGACTTTGGTCAGCAGCGACTGGAGTGCTCAGGAGCCTGTGTGGGGCAGGGGGCTGCATGAGCACGTTGGCCCTGTTCCTTGACATGCCCCCCAGTTTTTTATCACATATGAGCAGTTGAAGCGACTCCCGTTCTAGGGCTTCCTCCAATCCACGAGCACAGCCTCCAAGACGTGCAGTTGGGAATGAGCAGCCTGAAGTTGCCCCCCCTTTTTTTCACTCATTTCATCTTCCTGTGTCTTGATGTCTTGGCATGCGTGGATTGGGACCCGCAGTCCACTGAACATCTGGTCCTTGGAGCACATCCTGCCTGCAGTGGAGCGGAGGCCAGAGGAAGAGGTTGTGTGTTCTAGGGGAATTATTAACTGTGACAGTGTCTGGGCCTGAAGCGGTGTCTTCTGTGAAGACTAGTGCGGTGCTGTGGCCTTGCAGTACAGGTGTGGTATGTGCTAGTTGGGCAGGTGTGCATTGCTGCGCCCTGCCTGACGGGCGGGACAGAAGATGGAGCTGGAGTGGGGGTGGCCATGTTTTCCTGCAGACCTGTAACCTCATTAAACTATTTATTGATAGGGCTGTCTGGGTTTGTCTGTTGCTTTTGTGTGGGTGTGATTCCCGCAGCAGATGGCCTGTCTCTGCCCTTGGAGAGGAAAAGGAGCAACCATTTAGCGCAGCTGCAATGTCTGATTTTCTTAGAATATACACTGCACTTTTTATAGCACCTTCCAGTGATGGGCCCCAGCCCCCCTTTAACTTGGGAAACAGGCCCAGAATGCCTGGAGTTTTGCCCAGACACATACTCTGATTCTAGGAATGTCAGACATGGAACCTGAGACTCCTGACTCCCTGTCTGCTCCTTTACCTACTAGATAAGTAGTCCCCAAACTGTGGGGTGTACCCCCCTAAGGGGGCATGGAGGAATGTATGGGGCAGGGAGGGAGCACCACTCAGTCTTGCTCTGTCCCCCAAACTAGCTCTTATCCTAGCTGCAGCTCCACTTTGCCCCCAGCCAGGTCTGCCCTCATTCTTGTCCGCCCCCATACCTGCTCCCCTTCTAGTCCCAGCTCCTCCCTATCCCCAGTTCTGCCCCCACCTCTGCTATCCGCCCAAGTTTCTGCTGAGCCAACTGTGCAGTAATGGGGAGGAGGGGTGTGTGTGTGTGGGGGGGCAGATTCCATTACTGGTAAGGTGGGGTGGGGAGATGACTGGAAAAGTTTGGGCATCACTGTGCTAGATTGTGCTGCCTCTAACAGAGTCATTCTGAAATACTGGCAAGAAAGCACTTGAGACAGAGTGGAGCAGAATAACGTGGAAGATCTCCATGCTCAAAACATCCAGGCTGGGGCAGATCAGGAATATTGAAAGGACATGAAAGAAAGAACCACTCCCTGTGGTTCAGTAAACCTGGATAAATCTAGGAGAGTAGTACATATTCTTGTAGCAAATTTGATCATTGCTTCCTGGTTCTGGTAGCTGCAAAGTGTGGTTCATCACTGAAAATGGCTCTCCCTTCTTAAGCAGATATCGTGTGTATCGGTGGATCTGCTCATTGTGGTGTCAAAAGTAAGATGTTACTGTTCTGATTCCTGGAAGGCTGTCAGAGTATGGTTCATTAAGTCTTGGTCAGTTGCACCTTGGCATACCCCTCAAGGACAACAGGTCTGCACAGGCATCAGTGAGAGTAGGAGTTGGCCGTGGAAGCTTTGTGCTGCATGGGAGGAAAACCAAGCTTGCAGCACTCCCACATGAAAGCTCTGTCTTTTATTTACATACTGGGGCCACTTGCACAGGATTTACTGTTGGTATGTCTTGGGTTCCAGGAAGTGGGCAGGCGGGCAGGCGAAAGCCCACTGCTAAAGGATCCCCCCCCCCCCAGCCTAAGGGGAGGGTCCACAGGACCTGAAAACCAACTGATTTCGGAGGACAACTAATGAAATAACAGGGACAGGAGTGTGGTCAAAGGGTCAAAAGAAAGGAACCTGACGGGGACACCGAGCAGAGAACCCCGGACAGCGCCCACTGCTCCTCGATGGCGTCAAGGGAGCCAGTGGACGCCTCCCAGAGGAACTCTGCCCAGATATGTGAACGGACAGAGGATCGGAAACAGGCCCCACAGGCACAGTAGCGGGGTGGTCACCCGC